AAAAAAAAACCAAAGCAGTCCCATTTAAGTTGAAGATAAATGACGGGAATTAAAAGCAACATCCCCCCCCACCCACGTTTCATGATCATGAGTACAGTTCATTCTAAACCCTTGCAATTCTTGCCCATCTTTTGCAGTTAGTGGTTAGCGACCAGACAAGTGCCAAATAATGCTGATGGTTTTTATTTGGTGCACATATATCCAGCTGGAAATGAAAAGAAGCAGCCATCAAAGCAGGTCTGAAACTAGTGGTAAAACATCAGCCCTGGTCTGAGCTGCTATTTAATAGTCCAGCATCTGTTGTTTTCAAGGGTTCCATCCTTTAAGTCACCAATTAGCTGGGTTTCAGATGGGTTTTGACATGCAAATTATGCAGAGTTGTTGAAGCCATAAATTGCCCAAAGTTTAATAAAACTGACAAGTCTTCCTTTCTCTATTGAAAGCCTCTTCTATTTTCAAGTTCTGGTGTCTCTTCTCTACTACACAAAAGCTATCTATTCAATCGAATAACTACAGCCAATTATAGTGAAATTGAGGCTCCTTGGTACTCCAATGTGTATATTAGTGAGCATATAATACTGGAAGGATATTGTTGGAAAGAAATATGATCTCAATTATTTTTGGTAAACAGCAGAATATTAATCAAAATTCTAAATACTGTGGGGTGGGAGCACGAAGGGTAGGAATGTGGCGTGTAGATTCTGGTGCAGATTTCCTTCTGCTCTTATTCAGAGCAATTTGCTTTGGGAGTTAATTCCCAGGACTAGCAATGGCTTCAGGGAAATTATTTTTAATTGGAATCACAACAATGGGAAGGGGTAACACCATCCTTTGCATGCTAATCGAGATTATTCTGTTCCCCTAAATGTATTAGGTAGAAAGGCTATATTAGAAACAATAAATGAAACCACATATTTAATGTTGTAAATCATTTCGCCATGAATGTGACACATTCATTAAATTATGTATTCTCCAATTCTGGAGAACCGGTAGCAGAAATTTGGAGTAGTTCGGAGAACCGGCAAATACCGCCTCTGACTGGCCCTGCCCCTATCTAATCTCTCCCTCCCAAGTCCCAGCTGATCGGCTGGGTCTTCTTTGGTTGCCCTGCACAGGAGAATGGAGCTGGAAAGCAGGTTAGTGGGATGGGGAGGGAATGGAGATTTCGCAGTATCCTTCTCCTGCCACACCCACCAAGCCACACCCACCAAACCACAGCACACCACACCCACCAAGCCACGCCCACAGAATCAGCAGTAAAAAAATTTGAATCCCACCGCTGGTACAACCTTTTTCCATGCATGCTAAGTAGAGTATGTTTTAGGAGCATAAATTAACCTAAACTTTTAGCCAGACTTTCCATTTAATCATTTTAACCATTTATGCCATTCAGTAACACAGAAGCAAAGTGAAAGGAATATATGAAAAAAGCAACATGATTATAAGGAAGCCATCATTGACTTTCCCAGGTAAATTTCATGTTATACCCTCACAGTTGCTCAATTCCAAGAATTCTGAATTGGGAAACAACTACAAGCATTCAACTCCCATGCCAATGGGAGTCAGGAAAGGCAAATCGTTTTTTTCCTCTGGGATAAAAACAGATGTTATAACCCTTAAATTCTAGAATAAAGAGTTCTCACTTAAACTTTATCAGCCTACCATATTGGGGAAGATAATCCATTTTTGTTGAACAGAAGTCCATCTCGTGGGCAGACCTGCCATAAGAGGCTGAATAGATGTTAAGAAATTTTGATTCATGGCAGTGTAGTTTCAGTTCTTCATTTTCACATACTGATCTAGTTTTATATTCACCTGAAAAAGAAGGGACAAAAACAACAACACTGAGAGAAAACTGGGCTCTTGAATAAGCAAAAAAAATATTACATGCAGGTCCTGTTGCCAGTTGTATACGCGGAGGCTAGTGTGCAGATAAATGATGAAAGCATCACATACTTACTGAGAGATCCAGCGAAGTCAATCATCGTTCTAACTTGGGGTTTGTTAACTCATATGATTTTGTCTTGTGACTTACAGTGTTGACATCTTTTTTGGAGCAATATTTTAATGTGTATCTAGATCTATGGAGAAATTCCTTAATGTTAAATATTTTAATGTTGAATTATATTAAAATGTGGAATGTTATGATTTTTGAGATCTTTGATTACAAAATTGGAGCTTGAGGAATTGCTAAGTAATTATTGTGAGAAATTGGAAAAGTACTATCGTTTTAGGTATAAGGGATTAGATACAATATAACTGTCAGCTATCCATTACTGAAAATAGTCTTTTTTACCATTCCAAGAAAGGACACAATACATTTCCCTTTGGTACAGATTTCATAACTTATTAAAAATATTTCTAATTTGAAATATTCATATATAGGCGTTGCAGGTACTTTTTTCATAGGTAGTCTCCATAAATGTTTTATAGGTAGGTATTTATTATATGTGTTATATTTAGACTGTTCATAATTTGTTCCAGGTTTGCTTCTTATTATTTGTCACTAATATTTTTTACTTTTGTTTTTGAAATTAGTCGGATGTTTTGTATTTTTCAAACGTTGTTGTACAGTCAATTAAAAAAAGTTATTAGCTATGGAAAAAAGGGACTACTCATAGTATTTGTAGCAGAATTATACACAGTATATTCAATTAGAGTACTCTTGATAAAGAAGCTGTGATCAGTTTTAGGAAATTCACATTTTATGCACTTTTGTATTCTATTTTTCTTAACTAGTCCCAAAATGTTACCCAAGATGTTACAGAAATAACTTCCTGTATCACTGTCAATGAGTTCGTTTCAGAGAAAAAAATATGTATTTTCATTCTGTACCACTGAGCACTACTGTGTGCCATACACAGCACTAGTAAAAGACAGAATGGAAATCAAATAAGATTAAGACCAGTTCCTATCATGTTGGAGAATTATGGCAGATGATTTAAATATTCATAACTATTGATACTCTTCACTATGTTTTATGTACCGTGTGCATTTTCTTGACAACTAGTTGGACTAGAAAAAAATAGGCCAAGTGTTTTCTTTGGCTCTATTCCAAGCTAATCCCTTAGTATACAGGACTAAGACTTTAAGGAAGAGAGAGTATTCACTCCTAATGACTTTGGGTACTGATAGGAAAATTGTTGTCTCTGGGTTGCATGCATCACTAAGTCCTTTTTTGTTCCCAGCATCTATTGGGGAACAACACCAAAAGATGTTGGCAACTATAGAGACTTTGCCCAGCATTTCTCACCAGATACTTAAAAAGAAAAAAAGAATTAAAATTTAAAGGGATGTCAGCAACAGCTCTAGCAGGCCTTCTCAGCTCCATAAATTACTGCATTGGACCAATGATGTTGCATGGTAATGGAGGTTGGATGCACCATCACTTTTCTACTAGTAAAACAAAACAGTAATGGAATTTAAATAGGATGGCCTTCCTTTGTTTTTGTTTTTTGCTTATATCAGGGGGTGTCAAACTCAAGGCCTGGGGGCCAGATCCGGCCTGCGGGTGCTTAGATCTGGCCCATGGGGCTGCCGTGGAAACAGCAAAGGACTGGCCCACAGTGCCTCTGCCACTGAAAACAGAGCTCAGGGGGGCTGCGTGTGGCCCTCCCGAGCTCCGTTTTCACTGGCAGAGCACAGGCCACCACAGGCACCCCCAACACAAGTAACATTGAGCTGGCCATGCCCACCCTGGCCACACCCACTTGACCCCCAAGGTCAAACACAAACCTGATGTGGCCCTCAATGAAATTGAGTGTGATACTCCTGGCTTATATTATATCCACTCAAACAGAAGAAATGTAGTTAAAACAGCTCAAGTTGTAAAGAGGAATCCACAGCCACCTGTGATAACTCTATAATTTTTATTTTGGGATACTACAATCCACATAGCATGCAAACCTATTAACTTATAATTGCAACATTATCATCTACCATTAGCCAGTGCTTCCTGCTCTGGGTGCCCTCCTGTTATAGGGACTCCAGTCATCAAAGTTCATCCTGGTTAGGGAAATTCACTAATCTACAAGATGTCCACATTGGGTAAGGGTAAACAAACGTTTTTACATGTGATTACAATGTTTAAATTTAGTCAAGTCAGGGCTTTGCAGAAATCCATGCAAGGATTTTTGAGTTGTTATTACAATTTAAACGGAAAGAAACATATATAGAAAAACGGTGTTTGACCATTCTGCAAATTACTTACTAGGTCGGCACTTAAAGGAGACTAGGAGGTATTTAGTGACTCCTGGACATAACTCAGATCCAAAAAGTCGACTGTTAACAAGGAGTTGGCAGTCTCTCAGGTCCTGGCATTCATCGAGGACTTTCTACAACCAAAAAAGTCTTTAAAAACACTTTAAAAAACTATACAACTATACAACAATGCAAATCCAGACTATTTAAGATCTATCATGACAAACTTTACCCACTGATTAACAGTAATAAATTTATCCATTAGAGTACTAAAAAAAGATTTCCAAAGCAAATTACGTGAAATATTATTAACAAATCACTACCAGAGATGTTTCCATTCTAAAAGGTAAACTTAAATATAAGAAGCCTTAATTCAAATCTCCACTACTGGTTGTTTTATGAACACCAATGCTGGAAAAACAGGAACCTGTAGCAGTATTAGAGTACCATTTCAGAAACTGTCATAGGAGAAGCAGTTTGAAGATCTACAATTCACTGAACTTGAAGTACATAATTAAACATTATGATTTTTTTAATTAAACATAATTACTTTTGAAATTACCATTTTTAATTCTCTCCAACCCCCCTAAATCAAGACACATTCAGCTACTAGTAAATGAAATTTATAACGAAAGCATAATGCATTTCTGTTATACTTGGCTGTTCTAAATTAATTTCTAATGAAGGGCTGTTTAAGGCTTCAAATATTTATATACTGTGGCTTTCCTACCATTATTAGCATTAAGAAGCAAAGTGCTTTTACCACTTTCTTCAAATTTCTGGAAGCCAAAATATTTAAAGTGGGCAAGGGATTATAATTTGCATGCAAACAAATAAAAGAGAACTAAGAAAACGTAGAAGATACATAGGAGAAAATTAAAAGAAATGTCCACAGAAATACAATATAGTGAAAATTACTACCTAATAATCTTATATTCTATATTTTTAATGCAATCTCGCTACTGCAATTTAGGAAGGCAAATAGTGTTTAAAAGCTCCTTGGAGTTCCCGTTGCAGAAAAGAGGTGACAGTTTTCAACTAATTTTTAGGAGAAAAATATATTGAAACTGTAATGAAAGTCCTAATAACCAACCATTCCTGGCATAACATACACAGGTAGTCCTCGACTTACGGCCACAATTGAGCCCAGAATTTATGTTACTTAAGTGAGAAATTTGTTAGTAAGTGTTGCCCCATTTTACGACTTTTCTTGCCACTTTTATTAAGTGAAGCACTGCAGTTGTTAAATTAGTAAGTGAATCTAGCTTCCCCATTGGCTTTGCTTGTCAAAAAGGTCACTAAAGGTGATTCACAAGACTTTGGGACACTGCAACCGTCATAAATATGAACCAGTTGTCAAGCATCCAAATGTAAATCATGTGACCATCGGGACGCTGCAACAGTCTTAAGTGTGAAAAATGGCACTTTTTTCAGTGCCACTGTAACTTTGAATGGTCGCTAAATGAACTGTTGTAAGTCGAAGACTACCTGTATTTAACATGCTGTAGTGAAAATTCAAACTCTTCAAAATTCCCCTCAATCTGGAAAAAAGTAGAAATCTTGGCTTTGACAACTGAAGCCCTAAATCTCTCTCCGTGGATCATGTGGTACTATTAGAAGCTTGCCTGCATGTATCGTGTGGCTCAGCCTGTGATTCTAATAGCCAAAAAATATTGTTTGTTGCATTTTCTAAATGGGGATGCAATTCCTATGCTTCCTTATGAGATTTAAGGACTCTTCTACACTACCAGCATTTCCATGCACAATCAATTCCTCAAAAAGCAATGTGAAAACAAGCCACAATTATTTCCATCTATTTCAGTCCTGAAATAAGAGAACCAGCAAATAACATAAATCAGTCAATATTTACCTTCTTCCCTGCACCTGGCCAAAAGAAGAGTTCAAAGGCTGTAACTCAAATGATACCCGTTTCCCAGGGCTCAAATGACAAAAACCTTACGCTCATTTCATATAAAAAGGAAACAGAATACAGGTAGTCCTCGACTTACAAAGTTAAGTTAGTGACCGTTCAAAGTTACAATGGCACTGAAAAAAGTGACTAATGACCGTTTTTCACACTTATGACCAATGCAACATCCCCATGGCCATGTGATCAAAACTGGGATGCTTGGCAATTGGTTCATATTTAGATGGGTGCAGTGCTCATGCATGGATATGATCTGAATGCTTATAGATTAAAATTTTCCTTCAGAGCTTCAGCAAAAAATCATGCATAGAAAGCGTTTATTCTGGAAAATAATACTCTAATTCAGTAATTTTTCTATTTCCGAGAGCTTAAATAGGAACAATCAGATGTGTTTCTAAGAATATCCTGATGTATTTTGGAACAATTGGAAGTCTTTTAAATTAAAATAAAACCAGACAAATATTTTTCATTTCAGTCCAATCAGAACATCAAGTATAGATGTGAATTCATGTTGTTTTTTTTAAAAAAATGCTGGACTTTCACAGGCTACTTTTTCACTTATAAATCAAGCTTATGAAACTTCTAGCACATGGCACTATGATTCTCCCCTGATAACAATGATGAATTTTTATTAAGTGTAAAATCATGGTAGTTTGTACATTATTTTTTGTGGCTGCAATGTTCTTTGATTAAGAACAATCACATTAATAGGAATATTCTATGCAAACATATTTGGACAAATGCTGTATTGACTATAATGCCCTTTACTTCTAAGTACGTATGTGTGTGACTGTAGTTATGTTGGCTAAGTGCTACATTTTACAAAATAGGCAAGACCAGAAGAAAGAAGTAAATAGACCAGGACAAAAATGAACACATACACCTATATATTTGTAATATAATCTGCCCAAATCAATCCACTGCAGGATGAAGATCTATACTACACCGATTCCCATATGCTTCATATTCCCACTCAATGTAAAAATAAAAATATGAAATACATAAAAAATGGAAAGATGGCATACTTCAAGGCAAATTACAACCCTTAAGCACCATCTTTATATCAAAGAAATATTTTACTATACAGTGGGCTCTAAATGGCTTCTTCGGAAAAAGATTGTGGGTGGTTGCAGTGATTTGTTTGGATGTATTCTTACCTAGCCAGGAATAGGACATAAGGAAGCAGTGACATATAGACTACCTACCACCAAAAAATATGGTGGAGATTTCTGCTTGGGAGTAAAAACAGTCTATCTTTATTATGATTCAGGTACTGCATACGGAATTCTGAGTGCTCATTATTACTAAAGCAAAATAAAAGCAATTAACTATAATATCCTTTCATTTTATACCTCCCAAATTTTTTGAATTCTGTGGTAACTAGAATAATGTTCAAATATCTTATTACTTCTTCATTTAATATAGCAGGATAAAATGCAGAACCAAAACCAAAACCAGTGAATTTGTTTCTCAACTCAGTCCAGAATATGAAGCCTCAACCTACAATCCTATCTGTTTTGCATCCTTTACAGTTTAATGGTATGTATTTATGGGGTTTGATTGAACACAATGGGAACTCATGTGTAAATATCATGCCAATCAGGAGGACTAAAGATCCTACTAAGTAGGGTACATTCAAATCTGACCACTTTTTTGACATCATTTCTGTTTAGAAAAAGACTTTCTTATTCTTTATGTTGCTATTTCTAAGTTATTCTATTAAGGAAATAATGATTGCCTTAGAAGAGGGCAGCATTAGCAACATTCCCAGAAAACATAAGTATAATTAGCTGGGCTGTAGCATTATAATGGCTTGAGACCAAAAAAAAAATGCTCTACAATTATATTTTCACATCTCCAAGAAGGCAGCCAAAAATGCCAAAGGTGAGAAATCAGAAATCTCTATATAGATCCTCTGAATTGTTAGCCTAGTATTAAATAGTCTTGCTACAAAATTGGTTATTATTGGTAGTATTCCATTATTTTATCAATACTGTGCTATATATTCTGTGGCTAATTGAAAATTTGGAGCCAGAATTTTTCTATTGGCAATATAAATTTAAGTCTTTCAGGAAACTCCACTGACCTAAACTAATGCCAAGACAATTCTGACAAAACTAGTGGATTGGCACAAATTAACATTGGACCATTGGTCATGAATCTTAACAGACATTCACATTGTTGGATGGTCTTTTGTCTCAATCTGCTTGGAAAGAGAGGAACTCAGACAGCTCATTCAGCAACTCGGTCTGTGACAATTCTTCCCACCTCCCTAACTGCATCACTCTTACAATGATGAGATCCTGCTCCAATGCGTTGTTGAGTAACCTGGGCCACTCTACTTCAAACTTCAGCCAGTTTCGTTTAAAAAGTTATGCTTTAAAATGTGAATGTCGTTTTATAATTTTTGAACAATCAACTATCAGCTTTAAAAGTACTCAGATTTATTATCTGTATCAATATGAATAAACTCTTTATCCTGAAGGGACAAAATTGTGAAGAAATGTCATTTGACAAGGCCTCGTAATGAATTATATACTACAAATCCTCCAGAAAATTAAACCAACTCATCTGCAAGCTTAATCAACCGTTAGAACTAATATTCCAGATGTAACATGCTGAACCTTTATTCATTTGATTTTTAATCTACTATAAATAAATTATCTAAAAGATTTCTGATTTGTTTAAAATGCTACAATATAGTATTTTATACCTGCAAGGTAGTAGATGCTACACAGTTTAGTGGCTCTTTTACCATGACTTCAGGTTGCTGTGCACTACACAAGTGATAAGCTTGCCCATAATATGCAGATTGGACACTTATTGTTGAATGCCGAGGACACCGCAGACTCAAATGATCACCGTCACAGGCATACACAGTATGGTTTCGCAGGAGTTTGGTTAGGTAACCTAAAAAAAAATAATTAACTGTGTTACATTTAGTGAAGCAATATTCCTCTCTCCTCTAAATTTGAATTTAAAATTATCAATGATTTTTGGCTTGATTAATGGTTTGGGATGCTAGGAAAGGTCCACTTATCTTTAAACACATCAATACCAGAATAAAGTTTGCTGCTCCCATTGCTAATCCCTGTTCTCTTCAACTATGTCTTTTTCAAGTCCTAGTAAACAGTGTTGCTACCTAGGACTCAAGAGAAGTTGTCCCTTTTAGGATTGTGTATATGACTAGGTCCCCTAACAGTGGGAGAAATGCTCATTATCTGCCGGGCTACTACTCCACAAAAGTGGAAGTGATTGAAAGTGACAAATGTAGAGGAAATACAAATACTTCTCATCTGCTGTCTTTCATCTAAATTGCTGGAAACTTGGCGGGATTGCATCAAAAACAGAAAGGGGGAGGAAACATGTTTTAACCAGGAACTCAAGAATGAAAATTCTGATGGAAAAGACAAATGGCTGAGATGGAGACTGGCTAGTGAAGAGAAACGACAGCATGCCCACATTTTCCCGTTCATTCAAATCTTACCACAAAACAACTACCACCATTATTTGCTCAATTGTCCCCCCCCCCGCCTTTTTTTTTTTTTTTTTTACTGGGAGGTGTTCAAGAGGAGCAAATCCAGCATCACCATCTTTACAGAAAAAGCACAGCTAAAAGATGAAGGGTAAATAAACAGGCAGAGGTAACTGCGTATGCTCAGTATAGAGTTGCCTGTACTGGAACAGAACAGAACACAACAGGTGAAACCAGTTCTTTCTGCTACGCAGAGTGAGCAAGAGGTAGGAGGTAAGAATAGACAGAGCCTTCTTTTTTAAAACTGATTTTAACTTCAAGGGGAAAGCAAGGAAAGTCCCAGAGAAGTGGGAGTTCAGAAAAGGAAGCAATGAAACTGGGAGAGGGAAAAAGATTTCATGGGCTTTGTGGCTGGAAGATTGCTTGCAATTTGCTCTTTTCCAGCAGCTTTTGCAGTGAAGAGAAAAAGAAAATAAATAATGATTTGTTGCTTCATGCTGCTTTTCTGCAAAGTTTGTACTCTTCTTCAGCAAAGATGTGTTTTGTTTATGGTAATCACAGCTTTGGAGGGACTGCAAGTAGCACCTCCACAGGACATTGAAAAACGTGGGCCTACATCTATGTTAATTTGGTTTTGTATCTGTTTGGAACAAAATGTTCCCCTGCACAAATCAGCCCAGTATTCTCTGGAGGATATTAGCTATGCAGACTTTTGAATGAGTTTCTGAGCATTTTAGCTGCTATTTTGATCTGCAAATTCCTATCCCGGTACCTAACTACTTTTTACCATCAATTTCATTATTCAGTGGCTCCATGAATGGTACAATAACATTTACTTTGTCAGACAAAAATGAAAAAATACCAGGTATTCAATAGAAATGTTATCCCTTGAAGTATCATTTAAAATGAAAGTGATATTATTGCAATAAGTGCACCATTAAGGATGAAAATAGTTATGGGATTTTGCTGTTTCCATTTGATAAGGAATTTGGTGTACTGTCATGTAGATTGCTTCCTTTCAGGCCATTCTGTCTCCAGAGATATTAATAACAACCTCTTCTTTATTTTTCATTTGGATTGATATAAAGATATTAAACAGTAGCTACTTTCCTTGCCCGGAATTAAAACAGCATAGCTGTCAGTCATGGCTATGGAAAACTCATGGAAAACTCAAAATTATTTAGATGCATTTTATTTATGGAATCCATTCTGATTACTTTGTTTTGGCAAGATATTCAACATTCTTGCAATATCTGGGGTGGAAACTAAGAAAGGAGGTAGGAATATGCTGCTGAAAATATGGGGCCAGGAATTAAAATATCCTACGCAGGGAGGTTGTATAATGTGAGGAATACAGAAGTCCCCCCATTCATAATTGTCCAAAATTAAACCTCAGATGTTTTTTGGTTTCTACCTAAGCCGCTTTCTGCTTTCTCCATCTTGAAGTTAAATTTCTAATATGGAACCAATTGAATTTATAGATGTTTACTTCAAGTTAAGGAGAAACAAAGGATCTTATCCTGGAGTCCTCTCTTAGTTACGGCTTATAGCTATATTTAATCAGGATAAAAACAAGCCCCAACAGGAAATCACTTAAACTGAAATCTTAGATTTACACTGACTTCTGAGGTTCAGTAACTCTTAGTATTGGTTGGTCCAGTCAGGTCCTGTTTCCTGGATCCATACCTGCAGGGGCTGTGAGAAAATTTCTGTAGATATTGCCAGAGAATTATCAGCTTCATATACACACCCTCTGCAAGCTTCATCTTTTGGCAAGGAAGAGCATCCAACCAAAAAAAGAAAAGAAAGAAAAATGCTTCAAATAGGTTGCAACTTTTGGTCTTTTTCATGTTGCTTTAGATCACCATTATTCTACGGTAGCACCATTCTCTTAACAGTTATTTGGCAAAGCCAGTTTCTGCCACTACTCATGGAGCCCATGAATGAACAAGTGAACAACTGCTCTCTTTCCCCAGCTTTTAGCCAGATCAAGAGAGAAAGGACAAGCCGCTCATTCTTCCTTGGGCAGCTTTACTCTTCCTTGGGCAGGCATGTTAGGTTCAGTGACATTATCAGTTTTTTGCTACTTGTAAGAATCCCTTTATTCAACAGAAAAAGCACAGGCAGTTTATCAAGGTTCACGCTATCTTCTGTTTTCTCACACAAAATCAGAAAATATAGGACACATTTAAACTGGCTTACTGGCTACTACCATAAAATTCCAAAAATAGAGAACTAGTGTCTCTTGGTATTGGGTTACACCGATAACAATAGATAGCAATGCATTTATATAGCCTCTTTTCTCTCATGAAATCAATGGAAGTAGGGTTGATCATTCCCCAGACCCAACCCCTCTGTATTTTGTGCTAATCAATGGCGGTTTTAATGGCTCAACACAGTAGGTCATATGCAGGCTTTTCAGAGATCAGAGTAGGTCATATGCAGGCAATTCTTGACGCTCTTAGCAATAATACACATAGACAGAGACAAACACAAATTAAAAATAACAAATGTCTAAATTTAACTCTGATTTTGGCTTCAGACCAATGCCAGATAATTCTGTTGCCCTCTATCCTGAGCCCAGCACAAACTTGAATATGGCTGTTTCTGCTTTTACAGTCATATTAACCGTAATTAATTATTTCTTAAAGCATCATCATCTTTTTTTTACGTGTGCAGAAGCCTGAAAAAAGCCAGGATGCATTAATGAAAGCATAGAGATGCTGGGTATCCATGAGCTCAGAAATTATTGAATCATTATTTAAGCATGCATAGTAATGAAATAATAATATGTATGAGCAAGGTTCAAGATTTTGATTACTACATTAATGATACTTAATACCGCTAGAAAATGTTTCTAAATAAAGATGTTGAATACTGTAATATTTGTTTTTAACTAAGTTTTTAACTAAGTAAGGGGGCGTGCATAAGCGCACCATTGTGCCTACCGTCCCTGTCCTATTGTTTCTCTTATTCTTTTATTTTTCTTATATGTACCCATTTCATATATTAACAACTATGTATACACTTGTACTTATTATCTTGTAAACAATTGACAAATCAAATAAATAAATAAAAAATAAATAAATTTTGAGACCAAAATGATCTTTCCCTTCAGAAACACGGTAAGGGGTTAATTAAAGGATTATATTTTTTTTCACAAAGCATGTGCTGAGTGACAAATAAGAAAGACGACTTTTGAAATCTCCTGATAATATCTTGGATATCCTCTACCTCCACAAACGCAATGAACAATAAGTATAAACTTGAATCTATTGATAGAATGGAGAGCTCTGATTTTAACTGCTTATCCAACAATGATTCCCATTCATCTGGCACACTGAAGGCCATTTTCCAAACACAGGAGAACAGGCCAGTGGTGAGATTCAATTCAGTTCTGTGGGTGTGGCTTGGTGGGCATGGCAGGGGAAGGATACTGTAAAATCTCCAGTCAGAGTGGTACTCCTACACTACAAAAACATATGGACTACTCTACTTGACCAGGGTAAAGCTATAGACACAATTTACATAGACTTCTGCAAAGCCTTTGATTCAGTGGTACATGACAAACTACTGTTAAAACTAAACTCTTACGGCATTTCCGGATCCCTTCATAAATGGAGTTCCTGTCAAACAGGCAACAAATAGTAAAAATAGAGAGCACTATATCAAACCCTGCTCCAGTTAACAGTGGTATCCCCCAAGGTAGCATCCTAGGACCCACCCTCTTTATACTCTATATAAATGACCTTTGTGATCACCTTATAAGCAACCGTGTCCTCTTTGCAGATGACTTAAAACTATTCAACACCACCAACAATGCTACTATCCTTCAAAGCGACCTTGATTATGTGTCTGAATGGTCAAACATCTGGCAACTCCAAATCTCGACCAACAAATGCTCTGTCCTACACATTGGTAAAAAAAAAAAATCAGTACACCAAATACAAACTAGGTGGATACCTTGTTGATGATCCTCACTCTGTCAAGGAGTTCTCATATCAAATGACCTAAGCGCCAGAGCTCACTGTAACAGCATTGCCAAAAAGGCATTAAGCGTTATAAATCTAATCTTACGAAGCTTCTCCTCTGGAAATATCGAATTGTTAACTAGAGCATACAAAACTTTTGCCAGACCAATACTTGAATACAGCTCATCAGTCTGGAATCCACATTGCATATCAGACATTAATACAATCGAGCGAGTCCAGAAGTATTTCATGAGAAGAGTACTACACTCCTCTGCTCGCAACAGAATACCTTTTTCACCAGGCTTGAGATTTTGGGCTTTGACCACCTTGAACCTACTGTTAGACTTAAGCATAGCACACAAAATTATCTGCTACAATGTCCTACCAGTCAATGACTACTTCAGCTTCAACCACAACAATACAAGAGCACACAACAGATATAAACTCAATGTAAACCGCTTCAA